GAGGAGATGTCAAAACAATCACCCATATTTCCTCGACATCTGTGCCTGCTCACAGTGGCATCAAGGTCAAGTACTTGTGACTGTGCCTGCCTTAGGTTGTCCCGAGATTTAGCAGGGGGATCTTACCCGTCATAGGCGAACCAGCCTTCCATACTTGCCTATTAATTTAAGTCAGACTTTTTAAATCATGTCATTTCAAAACATGTCCTGTGTTCCTGCGCGCTGTACAAAAACAGAAGTCACAGTGTCCTCGCACACTGTGCCTGCTCACAGTGGCGTCAAGGTCAAGTACTTGTGACTGTGCCTGCCTTAGGTTGTCCTGAGATTTAGCAGGGGGATCTTACCCATCATACGCAAACCATCCTTCCATACTTGCCTATTAATTTAAGTCAGACTTTTTAAATCATGTCATTTCAAAACATGTCCTGTGTTCTGTTGCCCTCTGTGGAATCTGTCCAAATAAGCCACTCTTCAATACCGGCTTCCGCTCTCCACATGGAGATTGTGGGGCAGATCACTATGTGTTCTGAACTGTACTTTGCAATCTCTGCCAGAGGCAGCAGCTTGCATTAGAACTACTGTGCCACTCAGAGAATTAACATCAATTGGTCCTTGTGACTTGCTTGAACTGGCTGAAGGGGACTGAAAACACCTGAAATTCTTCAAAAAGCATATACAATCAGCAAGAAAACCCTCAGCTTATTTTATTGTGACTGCTGTTCTGTTCCTTGTGAAGAAGGTACAGGTCTTAACTTCCTGTCTAGCTTTCACTGCAGCAAGAGAGGCTTGCTTCAAAAACAGTCCTATAGCATCCCCTTGTGGGGGAGGACTGTCACTGTCCCCAAACATACCCTTTTTCTGCATCTGTAGGACCCAGGAAATAAAGTGATCTCTTTCCCCTGCTCATCTTTAGAAAGCGTATTTAACCATTTAGACAAAAACTTGTAGTACTGCCCCCAAAGAGTAAGGTTTGGCCTTTTCCCAGTCTTGTACAACATTTGCAGACATTCTTAAAAAATTATGTACAGGCGTCCCAAATGAAATGATCTCTGTCCAGAACCAGCTGATCTGACATGGGAACCTTCTACATCAGAACTTTTTCTGATGCGCCCGATCACTGGGGGTTCACCCAATCAACAGTTCTGTTTTAATTCCACTGAAAACGCCGCCACCCTAAATTCTATAATACAATTTTCCCATAGACTATGCCCAGCCCTGAAAAACAGGTCTGCCCGAGGCACACTGTTCCACATGGAATTCTTTCAGTAGCACTGCTGCTATAAGATATCCACCTGTCATGTCTTTTTTCCCCATTAGTGGGGCACGCCCCACACTTTGAGAGCTACGGTGTTGAACCCAGTTTGCAACAGCTCATATAAATTCAAGCAGGCTGTACTGTAAGTTGACATCATGTAGTAACTTGGAGGAAAGGCTGGAGAAAAGAAAAAGGATAAAGAAAAGAATAAAGTAAGAAAAGTGAAGGTAAAACACGGTGGGTTAAAGTCATGTTAGAGAAACCGAGCAAATGAAAGAAAGAAAACAGGTGAAGGGAGAAACACATCATATCAAGATAAATGGAGGGCAGTTGGTTGAGGACAGACCCTGTTGTCCTTTTCGTCGACCTCACCATCCAGGTAATTTTATTTATGAGCTCCGTTACTCCAGAGGGATCAGGAGAGCACGGCTCATCTCCTGCCAAGGGTCAGTGCCTCTCTCCTGGGCCAAGATTCTCCAGCTCTCCCCTTCTCCCCCTGAGCCCTCCACGGCTCCTGAATCCACAGCTGTGACGACTGGGACCTAAACAGGAGCCAAGCAGTTTGTGTGTGTGTTTGTAGTGTAATTAGTCAGACAACAGTTTATTCTCAGGCTACATGGTTGTGACACTGATGGATGCCTGATGCTTAAAGCGAATGTGTGGTGTACAAGATGAGAGAAACTCACACACAAACATCAGGCCGTCATCCAGAGCACTAAACCTGCTGAGCTCCATCAGAAACAGTTGACTAGTGTTTTCTGCCTGTACCAAACTGCCCACCCACCTACCCCCATCTCCCGACCTATACTTATCTACCTTCTGTTATACCCCAGTTCTTTTACTGGACAGATCTGAGTAAGGAAGGAGTCCGTCTTTCTTGATTTTAGTGCTGGTTTATTTACAAAAAAATTTATATATAAAAGGATTACAGAACACAACCCAGGGCTCCCTCCTTCAGACAAGCTGCTGGAGAAGAGAGCAGGAAAAAAGCACCCGGAAACACAGATCCTAATACATTTATAAGATTTGGGCTAACCCCTTACACAGATGAAGTCTGTCCAGCAGACTCCTTCTCTTATCTAGAGCTCCACAGGCTTGGAGCAGCTGCGTGTTACCTAGTCATAACAAAATGAAGAATTCTATGTGTGTGTATGTGTGTGTGTGTTGTTGTTACGTGGTGTGTAACTAAAACATACATTCAGACATAAATCTAACACAACATTAATACAAGAAAGCAATTGTTGTCATGGCTTACTGCTAACCTTGAAACAGAGCAGACTAGAGCAGACTTTGAATCTTACTAAACTGTATTGCCAACACATTAAAGTCTAACACATTAAAGTCTAATAATTATTTGACTGATTTATTAATTTCTAACAGTGAGGTGTGGAGAGGCCTGAAACACATCTCGGGTCATGGTAAAAGTGGTGATGGTCACCAGGTCGTGGGGGACAAGGCCTGGGCAAATGAACTGAATCTGTTTTTTTAACAGATTTGACTCTACCAAGTCCTTAGCTCCAACCGTGCCAGCCACAGACCCTGACCACATCAGCCCGAGGGTCCTAAGGGAGTGTGCAGACCAGCTCAGTGAAGTGGTCCTGTACATGTTTAATCTGAGTCTTAGCCTGGAGAGAGTTCCAGTTCTGTGAAAGACGTCCTGTGTGGTCCCAGTTCCTAAAATAACTCATCCCAAGGAGCCAAACCATTACAGACTCGTTGCCCTGACCTCCCACCTGATGAAGACCATGGAGAGGATTGTCCTCAGCCACCTCCGTGCCAAGTGAGCTCAGCGGTGGACCCACTGCAGTTTGCATATTGACCTGGCATTGGGGTAGACGATGCTATTATCTACATGCTGCATCGAGCCCTATCTCACCTGGAGTCCCCCCGAAGTCTTGTGAGGATCATGTTCTTTGACTTCTCCAGTGCTTTCAACACAATCCAGCCGTCACTGCTGAGGGGGAAGTTGGAGGGGGCAGGTGTGAACTATACTTGTGTACTTACATACCTTCTATTGTACAGAAATCAGTCTAAACTATAAGGTACCTACATATGTCTTTGGCTTTTATAAAAGTACACACAACTGGAATTCCAAAAAGATGAAAAGAAATGGTGCAAACACATGGAATTATTATTTGCCATGAATGGGTGGGAATATTTCCTTCCAAAAATCTTGATAGTGAAACTCTGTTATTCTCTGTCACAATAGAGAATATTAGTGTTCAGTTGAATTTATATTTATATAGTGTATATTAGATTTTTCAAAGGATAGAAATATGCATATTAGTTTCTTTTCCAAGATTTAAATGATCGATAACATTAGGCACGGTGCTGGAGGTGATTAGCTTAGCTTAGCATAAAGACTGGAAGCATGGGGAAACAGCTAGCCTGGTTAAAAACTTAAAAATATGCACCTAAGCTCACTAATTAACACATTGTGGTTTTTGAGTGAGGTACATGCTGTAACCACTTCTCGACAAACAGTTTATCCATCCATCCAGTACTTTGTGCAGTGTCACCTACAGTGCAGGTTGCCAGATATCAATGACCATATATTTTAAACACATAATAGTATTAGACCTGTTAACTGCACTATAATGATGAGACTAGATGTCAGTTTGTTGTTCACAAAGTTGTTCTAATATTTCTGTTTGTGTATGAATTAAACAAGATACAGTATATTAAATAGTAAGTTTTAAAGGCATTGTCGGGTGTACTTTTGAGCTATAGACACAACCAGGCTAGTTATTTTGAGGGACTATGCAATAATCTACTGAGGTGCAATATTCATTTCGTGGGTGTGAAATGCATTGTAAATATCTTGTTCCTGATCTCTCTCAAATACTGTACATTGCCCTGCTTTAGGTATTTTTGAGTAGTTGCTCAGAGATCCTTATGGCTGAAACATAGGTTTCTTTCCCCCATTGTGGGATTAATTGTGTGAGTAATATTCGATTGTTCTTGATTTCCTGGTTGTTTAGTCTCTACTGCTGTTCCTGATTCTATCCAGTGCTGCTTTGCCCTGTTTTTAGGTGCCTTTGATTTGCTTATTTGTGCTGTGTAAAATGTAACATTCTGATGACGCTACTTTTTTAATCCTGTGTGTATCAGTCCTAATGCTTTGTTGCCTTTATGTAATTTTTTATTTTAAGACTAAGTGTTCTTTGTTACTACGTACTTACATATGCATGCGCCACGCGGAGTGGCAGCAAGTTACAGCAGCTATGTCCTTGTTGTGTTCTTTTCCATGTTTCTGTGAAGTTCTGTTCTTATGGTGTTATGTTGGTTGTCCTCTGTTGCTGCTGTAACACAGAAATGTCCCCACTGTGGGATCTATAAAAACATCACGAGTTGGAGACAGTCCGGCGTCTCCTTCTCTTATCTAGAGCACCACAGGCTTGGAGCAGCTGGTCATAACAAAATGAAGAATTCCATGTGTGTGTGTGCTGTTACGTGGTGCGTAACTAAAACATACATTCAGACGTAATTCTAACACAAGATGAATACAAGAAAATAATTGGTGTCAAGGTACACTTTTCAGAATCAACTGTCTTCTAACCTTGAAGCAGAGCAGACTAGAGCAGACTTTGAATCTTACTAAACTGCATTACTAACACATTAAAGTCTAACACATTAATGTCTAATAATTATCTGACTGATTTATTAATTTCTAACAACCTTATGGAAGAACATTGTACATGCACGTTGAGAGTCACCATACCAGAGACAAATTCCTTGTGTCACACCTGGCCAGTAAAGTTGTAGTCTTGACTCTTCCTCTATTTGAGAGGTCTCTCACACACAGCTTTTAAATGCATTTTCACTGCCATCTCATCATTGGAACTGAAAATAAAATGCACTGCATGTTTTCACAATTATCATGCCTGGAAATGATACCATTTGCTGCCTCATATCTTTATGTATTGCATTATAGAAGGTAGCAACAGGTATACCTAGGTACTGTATGTCACATGTTCACCATCCTCCACACTATTTACATAGCATTATTAATAAGCAAGCTGTTGTTGTAGGATGTTTCAAGGATAGCATACTGCAAAAACAAGTCTCCACTCAGATAAGGATCACTGAATTTTGATAGGGGCGGAGTTGGGCTCTCCACAACAGTTGTGTGAGGAGGGAGGAACTCCACATTCTTATAAAAGGCGAGTGGCTGTGTTGACACAATTGAGTAGCTGGAGCAGACAACTCTGTATTGTAGGCCAACTGCTGATCTAGAATGGCACAGAACGGAACAACAGAGAATGGAGTGGCTGAAGAAATCCAGGCTTTGCCTTTTCCCCAGCCTGTCAAAGTCCAGGAGATCAAACACAACAAGGTAAGAAAGCTCTGCACAGAAACCATGTTCATTATGTGCAGGCAGGGTTTGTAAGGAACAAGACATTCAAAGCATTTAGCCTAATTTTGTTTTTAACCTTGGTAATATTTTAGGTTTCACTTAAAATAAAGCCATTGCAAACATTGTCCTCTTTCCACAGATTTTTATTAACAATGAATGGCACACATCCAGCAGAGGAAGGACATTTCCAACTCTCAACCCAACAACAGGTGTCAAAATCTGTGATGTGGAAGAAGCAGATCAAGTAAGAAAGCATTGAATGTAGCTCTGCAGGCTCTATTTTATTATATAATACATATTGTATCAATTAGCAATTAAGATTTAAATTAACATTGTTTTCTGTTTTGGCTCTAAATGAATTGATTATTTGGCCAATCTTAATCTAAATATTAATTATTTAATTCTTATTATATTACTGTTTATTATTTGAAATATTTATGGTATACAGCAGGATATAAGAATTTAGGCAAAAGGATAAGAGTGTTTTTTTTTTGTTTTGTTTTGTTGTTGTTTGTTTTTTTATACCATATTCGGTCTATATGTCATTATGCACAGTAGAATTCACGTAAGCATAACGTGGGACTACTCCTACTAATGAAATTAAGAACTGGAAACAAGCTCTGAACTTGTTAGATAAAGGCATTCCCTGGCATGCGCCTTATATTTTGGATTCAGAATTTAGGACAGGCCTGCCTGTGTGTGCTGGGCTGCTTACGTTTTCTACTGCTTATTTGTTCTCTGTAGGAAGACGTGGATAAGGCGGTGGAGGCGGCCAAGGCGGCCCAGCACCGAGGCTCTCCGTGGCGGAGAATGGACGTGTCTAGCCGGGGGAGGCTGCTGCACAAACTGGCTGACCTGATGGAAAGGGACCGGCTCCTGCTGGCGGTGGGCTCATTCCCAGTGCTTTCTTTATGCCAGGCTGTGGTAGTTGAATGTTTTCTGCAAGCAGCTGTTTAATGAAGGACGGGACTTTACTCCTTGTAGCCTAGATACTGACATGTCTGTGCAGATTCTCAGTCATCCAGGTCATAGTAAAATGAAATAACCTTAGAAAAATCAACTGGACTTAGATTTCTAGATCGACAACGTTTCACCTCTCATCCAATAGGCTTCATCAGTTCTGACTGTTGGCCTTCAAAGGACTGAAACCACAGCGAGGGGGATAAATATCTCCGGCTCAACACCAGTCAGTCAGAACTGATGAAGCCTCTCGGATGAGAGGTGAAACGTCTTCGATCTAGAAATCTAAGTCCAGTTGATTTTTCTAAGGTTATTTCATCCTAGATACTGACGATTGTGTACAGGCTACAGTAGCGTGCATCGGCTTGAATATTCATTTGCAGTATAGTATGTTGGACGTAGGCTATATCGTTCAAGAGCCTACCGAAGAATTTCGGATTTTTTTTAAATAACCTGCTAAGTGTATAGTCTTGCAGTTCAATATAAATATGTAGATAGAAAAAATTTACAGTTATGTAGAGTGAGACACAAAACAGTGTAGCCTAGCAATTTTACTTGATACATGACGAGATAGAATGAATATCAGAGTAACAACATATTACCATGGTGGGTTACACAGCATGCTCAGACCAAAGTACCAGTCTGATTACAGCAACAATTATGAAGTATGTAAGTAAGTATATAAATATATGAAGTACATTGATATTATTATTATTATTTGTTTCCAAGTTTTTCAAGAAAAATGATATTTCACTAATGGAGATTTTCTTCAGGATCTATTGCCTTGGTTGTTGAAAATCTATCAAAAACTCATTGTAGCCTCTACTGAATCAGCAGTTTCAGTTACAAATTGGCTAATTTCTTGCCTCTTACAGACAGATTTCTTTTTTGCAGCATCTTTTTTCCCCTGATGTAGACAGACAATATCAGTGAGAGATTCCCTTGATGACCAACTGCTGCAGTAAATGACCAGCTAATGATATATGTGTTTCATATGTTTCAAGTGAATGACAGTAATACTGTAGGTCTGGTCAGCATTGACTTTATTTTCATTTCCTATTGTTTGTGATTCAGATGTCTCTTTTTCTTATTGTTATGGTTGTTGGATGTTACCTTCATTCTTTTTCAGACATTGTTTGGAGTGAAGTCATTGTTGCTGAGCCTTTTCGCTCTGTTTAGCTGCCAGCTTGCATTAAGACAGAGATCCGTAAATGAACCCTTACAGATGTGAGTGAAGTAATAATACCAGATTGCATGTGACTGCAAATTGTAAACATGTTCCAGAGTGGTAATGTGCAGTGTAGGGCTAATTTTACTAAACTCCCAGCTATGTTTGAGGAAATGAGGACCAGATCCAGACCACTTAAAGGTACAGTAAAGTGGTACAGAGTTCAAGTATCTGCTGAAGCGGCAGAGCCTCCCTTCTTTTCGTTTTTCCTTTTACAATGAAAAGAAAGTAACCCTAGTATCCATGGCATGTACAGACTGTTGGAAAAACGTAGCATACACATTACAGTGTAAACCATGTCTGACGCATTCAAATATAATCATTATTATTGTGCTTTAATATAAATAACTTAGATGTACATGCTTGGCTTATTACCATGTATTTATCAAGAGACTGTATATTCCACCCACCGGCTGTATAAAATACAGAGTCATGACAGCTCTCAGAAGTAAAGCCACTGTAACGCAATCACCCCCTGGTGGCTGGTTGCAGTATAGACATGAATCCTGCCACATGGGACATGAGCAAAACTAAAAACAAAACTAAGTACAAATGAGATGCATTTTTCCCAGTGGTCACTTCTGTGGTTTTTGGTAGATATTATCACAAGCGGTCAGGTTTGTTTTTATTAAGTTATTTGATGATGTATAAGAATACAAACTTACAGAAATTAGATGTCTTCACTGCTTTGCCTGGGGTCTGCACACTGAAGTCCCCATTTTACCTCTAAACCATTGAGTGAATGCTTTTCATTTTTGTTGATTAACTTTGAAACTAATAATGATGTCAGCATCAGTCCAAATGGCAGTAGTAGATTTTCATGGTCAAAGTGATCATAATACAATTAATTTGACCATGAAAATAATGTTATGACAAATTATTATTATTATTATTGCATAACAGAAGAATAAAACTGGTGGGTTGGTCAGCAGTAGATTGGGGCAGTGTGCACTGTGTAAAAAGTGGGATGGAAGTATCCAGGGATTTTAGATATTTGTTGTAGATTTACTTTGGTTTATTACAGTTTGGTCTTATTTTTGTAGTTTTGTCCGACGTTTCAATCTGATCATACACTGTAATTGCTGAGATATCATCACATTGAAGTCTGAGCAGTCAGATGACAAGCTGGAAATGAAGCAGAAATGATGGACAAACCTACAAACATAAGATCCAAATTGTAACTTTTAAGCTAAACAGTATTATTGACTGACTTTCTTGATTGAGTCAGAAGAAATTTAATTCTCTGTGACATCAGGAAACATTTATAATTATAGTAAAAAGTCACAGTTCTTTCATTATTACTTTGCCGAGAATTCAGCTAAAGATACAAAAAATCAAGGAGTTGCATTGAGCAGTGATGCTTGTTTTCCTTAGACCCTGGAGACTCTGGACACGGGAAAGCCCTTCCTACAGTCCTTCTTTATTGATCTGGATGGCAGCATCAAAACCCTTCGTTACTATGCGGGCTGGGCTGACAAGATACATGGCAAGAGTGTCCCTGTAGGTGAGTGTGCATCAGCAAGAATTCACCAAAATGAAAGCAGGACAATTTCACATCCACTTAGAGCTCAAATTAGTTACTATAGTTGCACATGTAACCC